GGGAAGGAAGTAGGGAGGGAGGAAGGAAGGCAGGCAGGCATAAGTATCTGAACCCTCAATTATTTGAGGCACATTCCTTACCCTGAATAGGTACACAAATGTGATTGAGCTGAGCAGCAATTTGGCAAATGGAGGTATCATTTGTGTCTCCAGAGTACGTATTACTAGGCTTGCTCCACTTTATGTGTCCCAACACTTTGAAATGTTGTTATTGTTGTTGTTGTTGTTGTTATTGTTTAAGTAATCTCTATGCCCAGCGCCCAACATGGGGCTCACACTCATCACCTGGAGATCAAGAGTCACACACTCCCCGAACTAAGCCAGCCAGGTGTCTCTCTGTCCCAAACCTTTTAAAAAGTAGTATATAGAGTCTAGAATCCTTAGGATCCCATTTGGGCCAATTTGTATTGAGATCTTATAAAAACTCAGTTGATATATATTATGATTCATTTGTCACTAAGATAGTGCCTGCCTAAATGTATTTAAGCTGCTTAAATTGCTCCCTATGAGACCGCGTTGACTGTCCTAACAAGTTGTTTTGTTTTGTTTTAATTCAGAAACGCATGATACAGTCTTCTGAGAAGGTTGCATTTCAACTTGATTTATTTCTAGTGCAAGAATGCAAGTTCCTGGATTCTGTTTGTACTACATGCTTCCTTGCCTTCACCTCTAGTTCAGTATCACCACCCCTCTGGGAAGTATATGAGGGGGAATGCCATTTTACACCCAAGGACAGTGAGGGTTAGCTTGTGCAAGATCACTCAGTAAGAAGAAAGTGCAAGATAAAAGCCTTCACTCCTTAAAGAGTAGTACTTTTCTCATCAGCACAGAACCAAAAGAGGCCACGCGTATGAGACTCCAAACATTCTTATTTTGAAGGTGATTACTCGAAATGTAAGACCTGAGCTATGGAGGCTGTTTATATCGGTAACCCAACCAATGGCCGCCTGCTTTAAATTTGCTCAAAATCCCCAAGGCAAGTCCTGAGCCCTGTCTCCTATGTTTTATGCAGAGACACCTCAAAGTATATTTTGCCAGACTACAAGAATAGTGAGGCCTGCCAGATCAGATTTTCCCAGTTACCAGAAGCTTCTCACCTCACCTCTACTTCAGCCTCTCTGAGTCATAACCAGTCACCCTAAAACCTAGCTTCTCTGCACTTTCTGAATATGGAAATGACAATCCTGACTTATGACACCAGGACCTGTTAAAAAGATTGATTTTGTAAGAAAAATTGCATGTAAGTTTTTTGCCAGTGGGTACCATGGCCACTTTTATACATAAGAGACTAGTATGTTAGGCAAAGAATTTGTACTCATATTTTTTTTAAGTTTTATTTATTTTCAGAGAGAGACAGAGTGAGGGGAGGGGCAAAGAGAGAGGGAGAGAGAGGATCCCAAGCAGGCTTCACATTGTCAGCCTGGAGCCTGATGCAGGGCTCGAACTCATGAACCGTGAGATCGTGACCTGAGCCGAAATCAAGAGTCAGACGCTTAATTGACTGAGCCACCCAGGCACCCGCCTTACTCATGTTTCTTAAGAGAAAAAAGTAGAGTGGTCTTCTTAGAAGAACAGATATAAAAACACAAGATGCTGCATCCTGGAATCCACCCCAAGTCCAAATCCTTTTTGGGATCTTTTCTTGGAAGGGGTATCTATAGTCCTAGAACTTCTTTGGGCATATTTCCTCCAAAGCTCTTTTTTTTTTTTTTTTTTTTTTTTTTCCTTTCAAAGGAACCGTAGTATGAATACTGGAAAATGAGAAAATTAAAGATGGATCTACCAAACCAATTGTGTGTGTGTGTGTGTGTGTGTGTGTGTAACCCACTTACAACACCTTTCATCCACAGAACTAAAGGCACCATGGAAAGGACCGCTGAGGAGAAAAACTAGGGGACTTGTGATAACTTCCAAAGAACAAAGCCCTCACAGGCGAGGGTGAGGGTGAGTGTTCTGCTCTTATTGTCTTTGAAAGTGACCTGAGGGCTCATCACGTCCAAAATCCACGCGCATAGTGATTGAGAGATGTGCCCAGTGATCTCAGGAAGTAGAAAAATGAGCCAAGACAAGAACCTAGATCTCTTCTCACATCCTTTCCACCTACTATTTGCAGGCCTCAGCACAGTCTTTTCACAGAGATGAAGAATTGGAAGTCTAACCAGTGGCTCACCTCAGGAGGTGATTTTAATTGTCATTTTCCATATGTTTTGTGGAGAATTAAAATGATGAAAGGTATTTCAGACGGCAGTAATCATGGCCACGTAACTTGGTGTTCTGGAGCTCTGGCAACTGACAAACCCCATTTCAAACCCACTTTGACTGACTGTCGCTTGGAATACATTGGGAGTATCTTGTCCTTTGTAGGTGCCTCACAAACATTTATGAAAATAATGTCAGAAAATGAGTTAGAGAGATCTATTGAGGTGTGGGTTGTGTTTCAGAAACCTTGATGCTGATCCTAAAACACTAAATAACACTCCCGAGTTCTCACATGTATCAGGCACCATGCCAAGTGTCTTACCACAGTGCTTTCCCAGGTGTGGTTCCCTGACCCGCAGCCTGGGCACCACCTGGGAACTTGTCAAGAATGCAGATTCTCTGGGGGCGCCTGGGTGGCTCAGTTGGTTTGGCGTCTGACTTCAGCTCAGGTCATGATCTCACAGTTCGTGGGTTCGAGCCCTGCGTCGGGCTCTGTGCTGACAGCTCGGAGCCTGGAGCCTGCTTCGGATTCTGCGTCTCCCTCTCCCTCTGCCTCTCCCCCACTCAAGCTATGTGTCTCTTCCTCTCAAAAATGAATAAATATTAGAAATTAAAATTAAGAAAAAGAATACAGATTCTCTAGCTCTACCCAGACCTACTGAGTCAGAAATGTGGGGAATGAACCCAACAATCTGTGTTTTAACAACCTTCCAGGTGATCCTGATGAACAATAAACTTGGAGAACCACTGCTTGATGTGTATTCTCTCATTTAATTCTCTATCCCAATACAGTGATACTATTGTCAATTTCGTATTACCAAGGATGAAACTGAGGCATGAGAGTGCTCTGTAGGTGCTCACCAGCCTCAGTGGCTATCGGCTAGTGGACTGGACAGTGCAGATAGAGAATATTCCATCATCACCAGAATGTCTACTGGACAAGGCTGTGTGAAGCATTCAGCTTACTGAATTTGCTTGTAGCAGGTCAAACACATATAGGTCAGGACTCTCCCCGGAGAGTTCTTCAACTAGAGAATTCATGAAGATGTTAAAAGGATGAGTTAAGAATGACAGACCATTGAGTTCCCCAAACAATACTTCAGTAATAAGAGCTAACATGTATTACATGCACTTGCTCTGTGCTGGACACTTTGTGTGTTTAGACGCAATATCTCATTTAATATTTCTATCAGGCTATATGATAGGAATTATTAGTGCTGCTTTTTCAAGTAAGTAAACAAAGAGCAACTTGCATAAAGTCCCACACGTATTAGTCTCTAGTATCTCCTAGTTAGGAGCTCGCTGATATCCCTTAACTAGTATGCCCAAGGGAGGGGTCCGCCCCTCCCTGACTAGTCTAGAGTCTTCTCTCAAGCACTTGTGATCCTCTCCTGTGTGTCCCTTGACCTTAGCCCTCACTTCTCCCTCCTTGCCTCCTTCCTTCCTATGCTTCTTGCTTCAGTGCTCCTACAATTCTTCCCCAAAAGTTCTTCGTGTGTGCACCCAGCGGGTCTAGTTTGCTTTTTCCTGCAGCCTTTATTTTCCCCCAGTTCTCACCGTCACGTGCTGTGTGCCCGTGTTCCTAGCTTAACGGCGGTGACTGTGCCACGTGGCGGCTCTTGGTCTCTTTCACATGACAACTCTGTTCTCATTGCCTCTGTGTTCTCCCTGTGTGATCAACATGCTCTTTTCACTCTGTCAACCAGAGGGGTCTTTTGGAATGTCTTCGGCCGGCAAGAGTCCATTCTTCCCGGAAGTGGAGCTGAAAACAGATTGCCTATCACTACCATGTCACTTTTCCAAGTACCCCCATAGGCAGAACAACCTGGAGGCTCTACTGTTAATCATTTAAAGTTCTCATCTGTTAACTTCCAATAATTCTGCTCTACTGGCGAGGCAGGGGTTGCCTTCTTTGTCCAGGAAGGAAACTGGTTTAGAGCTTCGGTGACTTATCCTCAGATATGTAATTCAGCATTGTGACAAACGTTTACGTAGGGCCTCCTTTGTGAAAGGCACAGGGGAAATACAATATGCCAGTAGGTTAGAGGAGGACCCACAGAGATGCTAGCTGGAAAATAGCATAGGAATGAAAGATTGACCAAGATGTTTGGGGAAGGAATAAAATAGATAGATGATAGGAGAAAGGGCTTTCCACTCAGAAACTAGGACACAGAAACATGAAAGCATTTAGGGAAAAGCAAATCCATACAGTAAATGGCAAAATGAGAATGGAAATACAAGGTTAAACTATACAAAATTGTCAACATTGGATTGTTATTTTTTACCAAAACACCAGTAGTGCAGTGTGGACCAACCTCATCTATCCAATGAAAAAGCATTTTGTCAAGCACCTGTTTTACAGGTACCATCAAAGCACCAAGAATTAGAAATGAGACACAGTCTCAAGAGATGTCTCTCAGAGATGAACATGGAAAGCCAGTGAGAGGTAGAACCAAAGGCTTCTGGGTCTTGTACCTTTCCTGGACACACGCCATTAACTATGGCATTTAATTATTTGAAAAATGGCTCACTCGGTGTCTCTGAAATAAACAGAATATTTAGTATTTGATATAACCATGTTGGCTCTGTAGGATGTAGACTCTTTTTTTTTAATACCCCCCCCCCATCCCTACCCACATACACACATGGTAAACCAGGCTGACGGTCATCATTTTCTGAAAGTGTTTCTGAAAAGCCCATGGTGTGGCTTTAAATGACTCTATTTAGAATAACTTGATCTGGGGCGCCTGGGTGGCTTGGTGGGTTAAGCGTCCAACTTTGGCTCAGGTCATGATCTCACGATCCATGAGTTCGAGCCCCGCTTCGGGCTCTGTGCTGACAGCTCAGAGCCTGGAGCCTGTTTCAGATTCTGTGTCTCCCTCTCTCTCTGCCCCTCCTCTGTTCATGCTCTGTCTCTCTGTCTCAAAAATAAATAAAAACGTTAAAAAAATAAAAAATAAAAAAAATTTAGAATAACTTGATCTGATTTTACATAGTCACTGTCTTATCATATCCACCTTAACCCCGTTTTCAAATAAAATTTTTAAACACGGGCTTCCTGGGAAGACAGCTGTGACTCTTCTTTTATCTGTGAATTCAGGGTGAAGAAATATGTGTGCCTGGCATTTACCACCAGATCGCCCCCCACTAGCCTGTCCACAGAGAAGCCTATCGAGAGCAACTGTCAGTTCAAATAGATTATCTAGAGAGTTCCCTTAGCTTGCAGCAGCCTCCCCACCACCACCAAAAAAAAAAGGAAATCCTATAATAATTTAAACACACACACACACACACACACACACACAAGTATTATGCGGGTAGTCCAGACATGACCACGGGACCAGACCTGGGGAGGGGAGAGGTGTTCCCACTAAGAACCAGACAGCCAGTGAGCAAGATGGGTGTTATTCTTCAGCCGTATTCTAGAAGAAATTTCTTATACTAAAAGGAGAGGTGAGTCCTTGTGGGAATGCAAAGCCAGAAAATTGGGTTTTATGATGGATTCCCCTCCTGGGAATTAACAAATTGCGGTATTTCTGAAGTTGCTGATTCCTGCATTGTCCTCCCTGGATCAGCCACTATTTTGACTTCCAAGCCATCCTCACACCTTCCACAGCTTTGTATTCTTCTTTTGAGGAAAGCACATCCTGATGCCCCTTTGACGTACTGGCACTTTCCTATGTCAAGGTAGACAGAAGAGTTTTTGCCTTTTGATCCATCTAAGTTCCAAAGTAACAACCTCTCTATTCAGCTTATGCTTCCCCACCCCCAGAAAACAATAGGTCCAGATACACAAAGAGTACTTACGGTACTTATGGTTCAGATTTTCATCATTTTACGTGTGGATTTGCCATAAAATTGTTGTGTGGCAACTCCTCACTATGCCCGCGTATCTAGTCTCTCCTTCCTTTTTAGTAATGGAATCCTCTCCCTTAGTTATAGGAGAGAACATACTGCCAAGTAGGAACTACATTTCCCAGCCTACCCTTCAGCGAGGTATGGATCTGTGCGTTTGTTCTAGCCAATGGG